CACCTAGTCCCTCGACTCTAGTTCCTTCGGGGCATCGATGACAAAGGTATGATCCGCGGCGTCGAGACCGGACAATATTTTACGAAGTTATTACAACGACCGCGCGCGACGACCGTACAGTTATTGTATTTATCATGTTCGAATAGCTGAATCGAAACTGTTGAGCTTCATTTTTATTTTTTATATGAACAGAAAAGACTAAGACATAAAAATACTTCCCACTAAATAACCTGCAGAAAACCCTGTCTTCGTGGGATGCGAAGTCTCGATGCGGCATAAGTTCAAAAACACTTTATCGAAACGACTTTGTCAATTTCACACTGATCAGAAAAATCTGATAAATTGAAATTATGTTGAAAATAAATATTTGCTTTGTTCTGTACGTGCTGATTGTAATCTACTGTTGGCTTTAAGTCAAACGCCAGTAGTGCTCCACTCGAATACGCGTGTCACGATGGATTCCTATCAGATATTCTTTATCAGTTTGTTATCTGGCGTGAATCGTCCGATGAAAATCCGAGACAAGGGCTGAAGGGCGAGAGAAACGATAGAAGGAGCGTGCAAGCGACACGAAGAGGGTGGAGAAGGTAAAACCGAAAGACGAGGGAGTTACCTACCTACCTAGTGGTGGTAACAGTGGAAGTAGTGGATATAACGTGTGGAGAAGGAGATGGGGGAGTGGAATCGGAGGAGCTGAGCAAGATGGTAGGTGACTAAGGACGAAGGGGAGATGCGGGGGGAGACGCGGTGACAAATGAGAGCGACTACAAATTGCGCTCTCCGGCTCTCGTTCTCATTCGATTCTCGTTTCGCCTTCTCTCTCTCTTCTCTCCCTCGCCTCTTTCTCTCGCTATCTCTCATTCACCGGATCGGAGCGGACGGGTAAACGCTCGCTTGGCCCTCCTCTTTCGCGCCTCTTCCACTCACGAACTCTCTCTCTTTCTCTCTTTCTCTCTCTCTCTCTCTCTCATTTATCCTCCTTCGCGATAATACCTCACGCTCACGGATGTAACGAAAAGTACGTAATCTCGGCGAATTTGCGCAACTTCGATTATCGGTGATGACCAGCGCGATAAGATAAATGTTCCGATGATCGGACAACCACTGGTCGGATGTTTATTAACAAAAAGATACTGCGGCTCGAAAAAATTATCGATATACTTATGAAAAGACGAAAGAAAAGAGAAAAAGAGATAAAGAAGCGATGATTGTCCCTCAATTATCATATATTTCTTCGCACGTAGCAGTTTGAATTTTTGTTCTCGCGCGTAACAATCTCGCCCCATCGACGCTTCACGCTTCAATGTCTTCGGGCTTATATCGCGCGTTCTCGCCGGTATAGAATAAAGGCAAAAAATTGCATGCAACTTCGCGACGCGCCCCGTTACGACCGGAATGCAGCAGTCGGCCGCGGATTTGTATTTACTCCGGTAAGGACTCCGGTGGGGCCTGGGATGTTATATCGTGGCAGGGGCCAAAGAGTATAGAGGAAGAGGCTCCGACGGTATTCTCGGTGAGCACACTCGCGTCGTGCCTCGTTGCCGTTGTAATAACCCCCGTAGATCATACCGGCGCACACGTACACGCCCACGTGTAGCTGTCCCGCGTGTACACTATAGGCGTCATATAAGACTTAGCGTTTACTAGACATGCACACTTTTCGAATTCAGCGTGCGTCGTATCCACGATACTGACTGTTCGTGACGAAGAAAAAACAGAAAAGAGTAACATCATTATAGGTCCGTTTGCATAAGTTATGCTTTCTGCGGTTAACATGAAATCGGAGGAGAGAGAGAAAAAGAAAAAAAAATTTGTGTAAGATTAAATATTTTCTACATGTATAAATCTTTCTTGATATACACAAAGAATAATTTATTAGATATTTATCTCTCTTATGTTTAAGATAAAATACATAAAATACTATACATCTTTATCGAATTATTACCAGTTTTAACTACTACCTTTATTTTATGACATTCGAAAATGTGTAGAAGTTGAAAAGGAGACAAGAAGTGGTAGTATCACGGTTGTTAGCATGTTTTGTACAGAGAACACATCATGTTTTACTGATGCTGAGATTATATTTATTTCTTTTTATATAAAAAAAGTTAAGGCTTAGTCTTACTATTGGCACAATTATATTATTGTATGTTGTTTTTTTTATTGTGTGCACGTATGTAGAAATTTTCTTCTGCGGAAACCAATTTGATCAGTAATTTACATCACCGTCAATTAAGAGCAATCATCAGAAATGCTAATTAATCATTCGGCTAGCACTAGGGTAGGGGACTTCAATCGCGGGATTCGATTAGTATTGCATGAGTATAGCTTGGCTTCGTTGTTATAAACTTTCTGTAAGCACGCAGACTCGCGGAACGATCGTTAAGGCGAGTCGCGCGCCCGCACGATGGTGCCGCGTGATTTATCAATGGCTTTATGGATTTACAACCTGGACAGAACCGGTAATGGGAGCCAATCGACTGAGCCTTTTAATCCTCTTACATCGTTTTACGTTGCTTCTGCGGAAGTACGTCGAAGGCGACAGTATCCGGAGTTTCTCTCTTTCTTTCCCAATCGATTTTCACGCCTTCGATCGCGAGACCGGTGTTATAATTTTCCGTAACGAGAGTCATTTTATTTTACGATATGAGAGTTACACGCCTTTTCTTGTAAACAAAAAAAATCGCAGTCCTCTCAAAGAAGCACACAAGAGAAACTCATACGAAGAGTAAAATCTGACAACGCATCATACAATATGTTATCTTTGCATCTAATTACGCGGCTGTTAACTTACAAATTTAATTGTAGCGCTTTTCTCGCTCGTGCGATTCGATACGCACGTGCGCAAGTCGCGCGATACGTCGCGGCACGCGACGCGTATATACACGCTTACGTAAATATACACGCATGTAGTACAGACGCGCACGCGCGCGCGCCAACTCCACAAGAATTCTTTATAAAGTTGGAATGTGTGTACGAGAGATGCCGGCACACATTGGCTCGCGATTCGTGTGTTTCGTGACCGTCGGACATTAATTATGTGCCGTGCCTTTTTAATACGAATCTCGCTTTTATGAGAAGAGGGGAGACAAAAAAAGACGGAGACGGGACGGGCAACAAAACAAAAGCACGTACCTGACGACGGAATTATATTTTCGCATCCACTCTCGCTCGCTTCGCGTCGTTTCCTTTGTCCGGTCGTGTCTGCTTTGATTTTGCGTATTTTTAACGCGCTGCAAATGCTCGTCGCGCGCGTATACTCGGGCGGAGGAATAAGGAAACGAATGATTTCGCGTTGTACAATGCGATTAGCATATCCGAAAAATCATCGATCACACGAAGACGAATTAACGCGAAGACACCTGGTCTGGATCTCCCTTTGCTATCATCTTATCTCCGGTGATCTTCACCGTGTCATCTCAATCCTCGACCCAAAGAATTCCGTGGTCTCATACGGTTCGGCTAATAAAATCATCTGCATCGGGTCTGGAAATTATCTGACGAATTCATCTGCCTTATCGAGCAATAAAACGCCGTGGTCGTCTCGATGCCGATGCTATCTCCGCCGTTTCTTTTCTTTCTCTCTCTCTCTCTCTCTTTTTCTTCTTGTGTGTAGGTGCCTAGACACATCGTGTGGCGCCATGCTACAGCCGAACCTTTCCCCGTATATATATATATATATATGTCCCCTTCCTCCTCTTTCGTGCTCACTTTTTTTCACCCGTTCAATACGCCTCACAAGATGCTCTTTAAAAAAGTTCAGGGGCCAGTTTAATAAGAATCTTATGTCCATGCGATATCTATAATTCACGAAGAAGGAACGATTTTTGTAATCTTGTCTCGAAATCTCGGCGACCGTAGACGAGGAGTTCTCCATCTGCCATTATTCGTTACCGCGCGTTTGGATGTGGTGGTAAATAAAATAAAACGAGACTGCGTTCGAATTAGATATACGTGTATATTGTCTTATTTCAATATATTTCATATCTCTTGCAAAACAAATTTGATAGTTTTTTGTTTTCTTTCTTCTTACACGCAAAGATATACACAACGAACATAATTATTACAATGGTGTGTGTGTGTGTTGTGTTAATTCTTATCTAGATTTTTCAATGTACAGAATATCACACGTAATAGAAATTATTATTTAAGAGAAACGTATTTTACATTTGAACGGTAGAGGGTTCATTTCTCTTTATTATATACAAAAGTTTTTTCTCATATTTTGCGTTTTTTTACCAAAATATGCGCGGTTCTTTCTCTCTTTCTCTTTACAATACATCCTAGGAACGTGTTCTGGAGCTAGGACACATAAGAAGCGCGTGTGTACACGAACGAACAGGGATGGGATTATGACTCGCATTTTAATACTTGGCTATCAATAAATTCAGAGGCACTTTTTGTATATTTTTCAATATCAGTATTTTCGTTCGTTATTACTTGTTTCAAGCATAAACAAAAAGTTCTATCATTTCTAAAATCTGATGACTTTTTTTTGCTAATTACGCAGCAATATTCAGCATATACAGCAATACATAATATTCCTAAAAAGTTTTTAATAATCATAATGTCATAATTGATAAAAATTTTTGTGTTAACATTTATGATCATTTAATTAATTACAACATCGCTTGTTGCTCGTATCATTGTTTTACTTATTCGTTTATTATTCACAGCTCAATATAATAATTACATTCTTATATTGATCCTGTCTTTTTATATTTGACGACATTACGCAAATAAAATTGGTTTCGAAACATTATCATTACATTGCGCACAAACGTCATCTTAAAATTAATATTTTATAAAATAAGGACTGTATTGGTTCAGTCTTATAAGTTTCAAGATAGAAATTAATTAACTGATTATGATATTTTTTAAAAACAAAGAAAAGTTAAATTAAAAATTAAAGTTTACAAAAAATTAAATTTAATCAAATAATAAAATTATAAGTGATTGTAACTAAATAATAGAAATTATAAACTTTATAATTACAAACTTTGTTTTTATTTCGTTATTTTATAAATTAAATTTTGCTTATACGCTTTTTATGTTTTCAGAAACATATCATCATTATTAGTTATCATCATTAAACTGTAGATTTAAACAATTTTGATTTAATTTTTTAATTTTGTTTGTCAAAAATTTATATATATAATGACAAAAAAATTTATACACGACAAAAATTTATATACCATAGATCAAGTAAATTTAGATTTAAGTAAATTTAAGGGGAGTATAACTTGCTCATATAATCAATAATATTCTACACAAGGTGTTCTATCTGAGTCTATCACTCTTAAAAATTGAATTTCCTCTCCAGACTACACAACTTTTGCCTGTAACAGTTTTTTGAAATTTAAAAGAAAACTGATTTTTCAGAGTCATAGACTGAGATAGGACATCTTGTATATTATATAATGGCAAATTTTATATTTGCTCACATTTGTAATTTTTTTCGCATTATACGGATTCTCTTTTGTATGTCTTTCTAGATCAAGAGTCGCTAAATATATTGCGTAACTTTCCTTATTTCTGGATAAAGAAAGTTCTATCATTATGACTGTTAAAGTCTGAATATATATATAAATAGAAAGCAAAATATTCATTTAAAATAACGCAAAATATTTAATGAGTCTTGATTTTGAGTAAAATAACATATTTACACAAATATTAATTGACCTCTCGATCAATACGTTGATTACATTAGAGTTTGTTTATCTTTTTAAACAATCAAACAAAATAAGATATTTTTTCCGAGAAACACAGAAATATGATACAGCCTTCAAGAATTATCTGAGGATTTATACTTGTCATATTTTTAGTTGAGAAGATTCTGGTCCTTAGCAAGATCCTTATGCCATTTCAAATTATACGTGAATTGTTATTATTATTTATCTAATTTTAATTTGTACTCTGTACTACAACTACAAGATAATGAAAATGTAACTGTAAGATTAATGTAAGAACACATATTAAAAAAATAAATGTTCTGAATTTATGAAACTAAATTGATAAAAAAACAACTAGCCACACAAAACCAAACGCAGATGATAATAAATTTTACTGCAAAATGTGCGATGTACACAATTGTAAAATGTGCAATAAAATTTGTTATTATATGTCTGCGTTTCGTTCTCTATGGCTACTTATTCTTCTTATTAATGGCATAAATAAATATTTTAAAACACAATGGTACATATATCAGTGTGCCAAACTATAGTATATACTATATATACCATATGTAATATAGATATATGTACTATATACTATAAAGTATGGTTTGTATATATACTAACTTTGATACACTTTGATGTACCAAACAATCGTTAAAAATTGCCTTATGTAAAACAAGTAATGTACAAGTAATATTTTCTTAGTGATAGAAAAAAATTTTTAAATATTCAACAAGAATACTTACTAAAACTATAATTCTGAATAAAAATTATCAAAAACGTAATAATTAATGAACACGTTCGCTAAAATTATCTTTTTAATATATGTTTTTACTATGAGAAGAATGTTTTAAACAATCTCAAAGCAGAGTATCACAGAAATGCAACTCTTTGTCGCGAACATCTGTGATTGGAACATAAATGTTCGGTGTAAGATTATATCCACACATTGCGTCGGCGTTGCAGTTACGATGTGTTCTATTGTAAGTTTATACCCAACCTGACATTTGATCGTTACAGATTAACTGTGGCACATAATCAGGTAAGGTTAAATCATCTCAACTGAAAATATACACTTAACTTTAAATTTGTTACATAGTGGAATATTCACTATGAAGTATTTGAACACAATTATCTGTTTCCGATAGATTGTGTGTATCAGAATGTATGTATCAAACATCAAGTCAAAGCTTCAAAGTTTCAATTTAAACTTTTTTTCTTCTTTCATGAAGATCTAAAAATTTTCTATTACATCTACAAATCTTATCAATATTCTGTCCCGACCTTAAATTCATGTTATCGTCATTTTGAGAGAGAGAAAGAGAGCAAAAAAGTAAGGGAGATGAAAAAAAATTCATTAATCGATCGTTTGTTTGTTAAAATTTGGTTAATACGCCGTTGCTTGAGGGTGTACTAGCTGATTAAAATGGTGACCAAGATGGTGCGGTGGGCCGGGCTCAGGCTGAGGCGCGATCATCGGTGGAGGATGACGAATATACCAATCTGCCCCACTCGCGGGTAGTCCTCTGTTTGAAGAAAAACTGCTAGATGGTGGTGGATTGGTTGTCGTCGTTGTCGATATCTGAACAACCTCAGGCGATTGAGGCGACGCGGTTTGTCCGGTGACCGATAAACTATCCCCGCTACTGAGACTTTCTTCGCCCTCGCTACCATATCCTACTGGTGTCTTGTCGCTATCTACCGCTCCCCCATGCGCCTGAAAAAAAATGAACTAGTTAATACAGTGCGAGCATGGGAAGTAACTTTTCCAATTATTTTTTTAAACTACTAAAGATATCTCAAATTTTGTTTACCTCAAATGTATTTAAAATTTCTTGAAAACACACATTTCTTGAAAAGAAAATTATTTTTATGTTGTATTGCAAACTATTGTTAAATCTTGTTACAGTCGATTGAATATAGCACATGGCGGCAAAGTATGTGTTCTTTTTGATAAGTTAAAAACAATTAATTCCAGTCTTCAAGAATAGAAACTTATGACCGTCGATTTATGTAAGAAATTCTGTTCGTCAAACATAGTTCGCGAAAGAATCAAGTTCGTTGCATAAATTGAATGTTTCTTCAAGCATGTATTTTTATAAATAAGAATTTACATTTTTTTTACAAAGCTACTTCTTCTATTTTTACACTGTACTAACTTGTATACTAAAATTTTATTTTCATATTAACTTAGATATTACACTTATATAGATAAAATACAGTTTTGATTTATACAGTGGAAACCTCACTTTTCTGATCGATTTCTCTTTTGTAAATCTAACACTTTCTTTAAATCTGACACTTTCTTTTTTAGATCATTTCTCCTCAACTGTTTTTTCTCTACTTTGTGACGACATGCATGTCGTGATTTTCTTTTTTTGCTTGCTTTATTTATATGCAATTTTCAATTCTAATATTCAATTTTCATATGCCATTCAATAAAAGTGGTACGTAATGAAGAAAGTTCAGAAAAGAAATTTTGTGCCTAGTCCTGGATGGATCAGGAAAGAAAGGTCCCACTGTACGACGTTTTGCGCAAACTTGTTGTTCAAGTCGGGTCGTTTTATATTGAAGCAGAAAAGCAGAAGGATCAGCGGGAAGATATAGCATAGGTAAAAAGTCAGATCGAAAGAGAAGCCAGATCGATAGAAATGAGTAAATCAAGAGTGTCCGCTTCCACCTTCCTTCATAATTCAGTGAGCAAATCTCAACGACTGCCTTCCGCGAATCACGTCTGCGAAAACTGAGAGACGCAGCACACATGCTGGTGAAACTAACCTATCACTCTCCCTTTGGAAGGTAGACGGCCTGCACGTTTCTGTCCTTTCTCTATTGTCGCGTAAAGATAAGATTTGAAAAGCTGCTGAGAATCTTGATGGCCCATGAGATATCATCTAGAGATTATAATTTGTTTTTTTCGAATAAAAGTACATTAAAAAACATTTGTTTTAAGTATTTTCACTATGTGTCTGAAAAAAAAAAAAAAAAAGATAGACTAAACAAGTGCATTTGATTGCATCTCGGGTCAATAATTTTTTATTGTATCAGATAGATGAAATATCTTCATTTCTTATGTGCTCGAATTGAAAATGTTTTAAATTAATCGATATTAATTTATCTTAAGTAGTTTTAAATAAACTTTAGCTTTAGTGTTGAATAAACAAAATTAAAATTGTGTGAAAAAAAAAATCAATGACATGCTGGAAAATCGAAATTTTCACACGTCTAACAAAACAAGCTGCGGACTCGAAGTCTTAGTAATGCATTCTCATCTATCTATCTACCAAGCTTTGTGATTAACTCGATCGGGTAACGTACTATACCTTCATATGTTTGCGCAGCGAACTCGGATGTGTGTAAGACTTGTCACAGCCGGCTACTCGACAAATGTAAGGCTTGTCCGATGTGTGCACGTGGCTGTGTTTCTTACGATCGCTGCTGTTCGCGAACCTCCTCGAGCAGCCATTATATTCACACTTAAAAGGCTTCTCGCCTGAAAAAAAGAACGTAGAGAAACAGATTCAAATAACGTTCCAATTAAATATCAGATTGCACATTGTGCAAATACACACGACAAAATGATTGATCAATATTGAGTAACGCCAGGAATAATTACACAGATAATTACACTCTTAAAAATAAGGATTTGTATAAAAAAAATTTACGGTGTGTTGGAAATGCACGATTGTGCTAGCGCGTTACAGAGAGAATCTCATCTTGATTCCGGTGTATCTTGATGAGCGGAACTCTTCTCCGTGGCTTCTCTTAGCTTAGGGCACGAGAGAGGAGAAAAGAGATATCGAAAGATAAGGTCCCCTGCACACGAATGGCCGCCGTTGTCGGGGCGCAGTGAGACCGTGTGGCGTGACTCTTATTTATTTCCAACGGAAGTTGACTGGAATATATTTCACCGTGTCGGTCCGCACCCCCGCATTCTACTCCCTTTTCCGGAGCTTCCTTCTGGCGCTCTCGAGAAGAGCGGAGACGCGCGAACAGGAAGCGCGAACTTGGCGGATTTTTTATGGGGGAAATGGCGGCCCGACTGTATGCGCTCTTGGAAGGCAAACGAATCTTTTTTTCTTTCCCTTCTTCTCTCTCTCTCTCTCTCTCTCTCTCTCTTTCTTTACTCTGTAGTTAGAATTAGAGGCAAAATTCGAAACAACATGCAAGGACGAAAAAATGTGACTTATGCGAATTCAGTCTATACGTTTTTAAGATACGGAGTCCCTAGCGGAACTTCTCAGGTAGATTTTCCCATTCTTTTTTCCCAACCTAGCAAATTCCATCATCGACACATCGTGAGAAAAAATGCAGTCGTTTGCTTGGTAAAACGGCTCGTTCGATTTGTACAGATTAAGTCTGACTGTGCGAACGACATTTTTGCAAAACGTTACTAATTTTGATGCTTTTGCTCGCGCGTGCGAAAATCGTGATAAGATTACAGTGATAGTGACAGCGCGTCGCGATTCAGATTATATTCAAATCGTTCGAACATTGCCGACGGGCGTCTGTGGCACGAGCATCATAAACAGGCGTCTTAAATATTTATGAAGCCGGGAAGATAGCGCGCGATTCACGCATGACGTCTCACCTCTTATCTTACGATGCGCGGCGCAACTCCGGTGTTTTTTTTTTCGTACTTTCTTCATTATTCGCCCACAAGAAAGATCTCAATTGTCGGATTTTACGATACATTCCTTATCTCGATCGCGCGGCGCATCCATATCGAGATATTGCACAACGATGTAAATATTTATGAATTTGTTCGCACGTAGGGAAAAGGGAACAAAGTTATCGACTTGGAACGTTTTCTACAATATTTTATCCAACATTAGGACCTGTTTACAGGGAACGCATTTTTATTCATTCGAGAGACAAAATTAGCACACAACGCGCCCGGAATCTAGATATACGTGTGCGCGTCTCTACGTCTCAATCTACTTCCACAAAAAGAGAACGTTTTGATTTTGACTTTTTGTAGTGGGTCTCCACCCATCGATTCACACCTCCTCGAGGTTTGCCCTCTCGAGCCTATCGAAAGGGGCACGTTCGCGCGCACGGCCATCGTCGTCGTCTGGTTAGCCAGCGCACACAACTCGCATAAAAGGAGTTCTTCTTCATCGAGGGGTGGGAAGGAGAGAACGTCGTGGCACTCCTTTCCAAAACAGGACGATTAATAACTTTTCAAATCTGTCCCCGGCAGGGTCGTGAGTTGGGGATCGCTTCGGTAGCGCGCGCGTTGGCAAATAAATAGCAGATAAATAAAAGCGCGCGTCTCTCCTACGTCGTGCATTCTGTCGTGCGCGCGGGGTTGCGTGTGCAGATGGCAACAATATGCCGTGAAATATTGCCGGTGGTCAATGTGTGCGCGCTACTGCCGCTATACGCACACGGACGCGTGCGTTCGCTGCGTATGTATGTATATGCGCGTGCGCGCGCGCCAGTGTCAGCGCGAGATACCGTGATCGGTAGTTGTTGAATACAGGGTGTTCTAAAAAGCGCTGCTTTTTTTAACAATACTTTTCGCGATCGGTTCTTAAATGTTTTTTTAATTTAAAAAATATTAATAATATACAACTTTTGAATCGCACGAAATAAAGATGTTCACACGTGATGCTTATTGAAATTTAAATTTTAAACATGTATATAATTTTACTTCAATTAAAAACAGACAATTTACTTAAATCTCTCAAAATTATTTTTAAAAAAAAGTGACACAAAAAGAATCTCAGACATTATGGATTTGTGATTCTATAAATTTCAAGGCTGCTCTTAACGCGACAATTGTTCAATTTGTTCGATACGTACGTTTGAAAGATGATCATTCATAAATGTGTACTGCGTGCCGTTACATTCTCATGTGCTCAGTTTGTACGAACATGCAGGTCTTGGTGTGCACAGAATATAAGCAATAAGCGGATGCAGAAAAGTGATGTGTCGGTCGGTTACGTTCACATACCGGGCACACACATACATGCGCGAAACTTGAGATTCATGGTACCCTCCGAAGCCATAGGGGAACTTGGAGGTAGTTCCTGAAGGGCAGTGTAGGCACCGTGTTATGACTTTCAGAATAGAGAGGCACAATGGCCCAGATCCGCGCCGGATAAAATAGTTATTATAATCGTTTTGGCTACGGCGCTCTGAAATCGAAGAGCGATACACGTGCGAGATATATCTAGCGTCATGGATGCAGAAGTATGGGTCTCTCTACTTCATTTAAGAAGACAGAGCGTCTAAAGAAAAAATGCACAATGTAAGAACGGATTATAAGAAGTCAATTTGGAAAATTGTTTTTATAACAATTCTAATCGCGTTAGGAAATAATTTAAGAAAATTAATTTTAGAATATATTAATTTAGATGAGATTATTTATTTTAGATAATTTTAGATATCTTCTTTCTTTCAAATATTTTATGAACATTTGTGGTTTTAACACTTATTCTTAAATGACACGTCATAATCTATTCTTAGTACTTTTTTTTTAAATCGAAATACTATACTTTCAAAGTCCGGTTCTTAAAATATATTTTTTACAAAACTAATGAGCAGTTCTGTTGAGATAGAAGTCGAGAAAATATTTTTTAAATGGCTTAGCCGGAAGTAGTTCTCATTTAAAAAAGCACAAAGTGCGACAGAAAACTTTGTCGGTTCTTTGTTACAAATTGCTTTTCCTTCCAGGAAAAATCATCGTACAAGTAGTTTTTTCGGTAAAAATACTAGTGATTTATGGGCGTATCTTTTGTCGAAAAGAATTCTCAAACTTCAATCTCATCCTGTTCTCTTCCACGCACGAATCTCTGGAATAACGGATACTTTTTGCCGGCATTGTATTCAGTCTTGGGTTCAACGATTATTGTTGCAAATCTTGGAATATCGAAAAATCGACCTTTCTTTCATAATGGAAGAGGGGAGGAAAAAGAGGGTCCGTTCTCAAACCTCCTTTTTTCCACGTTCTCGCTCTATTCTCAGAGGTCCTTCAAGTAGATAATTTTCTTGTTATATGTTTGGCATTAGTTGAAAAATCCCAGAGGTTCTCTTGTCAACTATACGGCTAGCCGCCGTCCCGATTGACGCAGGAGATACGAAAGAATCGCGGTCAATCACTGTGTAACTTGACCTGCTGACTTCAGAATCATCAGATACCGCACGGCACGTGAAGCGTCGTGTTTCACAAACAGTCCGTGATTGGAAAAACGCCATTTTTTGTTCCCTTCGCGACGGAATCTGTCATTTATCTTCCGTCAAGCAATTTTCGGTCTCGCAGAGAAAGAGAGATTCGAGATTGGCGAATTTTTTTTTCACGTTAGAAAGAGATCGAACGGAAGTAATAAACGTGTCGTGATTTAATAAGAGCCGGATGGACGCGCGTGTATGTACATTCGCGTGGAATTAAAATCCGAAATCGCGCCACACACTACGGGAGGGTGCGATTCTCGTCGGCGCGGCGCGGCGTATATATTGCAAGAGAATGAAACCAGTCGCCGCGCGTTAATCATCGTCCACGTGTAGATAGAACAACTCCAGAAGTATTGTTCCATATATCTTTGGGATCTAAATTGCAAAACCCACACCGTTCGAAATTTAACACCGATTCCCGCTGCTGTCATTTTGTGTTACCTCAAAACCCCCATGCAAAGTGTTTACCTAGCACCTGCGTTTGTGTATCCACAAATTCGTTCACGATTCTTCCCGCGGCAGAAGAAGATCCTGAATTCTGTATTAGCAGAAATGTCTCTTCTCTTTACGCACGAGCGCCTACCTGCGAATGCGGGACAGAGAAGCGAGACGGCAGAGGCTCCCCCGAGACGTCCCGTCGATGTAATCGGACTTGTTACCAAGATGGTCGCGCGTGCAAAACGAAGGAAGAACAGAAAATAGAGGAGGGGGGAATAAGTCGGCCAAGGGAAAAGAGCACGAGTGAGGAAAAAAGAACCGCAAACCCACGGGTAAGCGTAACTACCGGTTGATGCGCTGATCATTCCGCCATGATGGCTTCGAAAGGGAGAGCGCCATCGGCAGATGTTTCTTTGCTCAAGTAATTCGAGTGTTTGCCTGTTCTCCCTTCCCTCTTCCTCTTTCTTTCTCTCTCTCTCTCTCTCTCTCTCTCTCTTTCTCTCTCTCTCTCTCTCACTTTCTTTATTTTTCTCTTCTCGTCCCTCTCTTTTGCTCGAACGCTGTCGAGTCGCAGGGGATGCTGCGACTATACCGCGTTATATACCTGAGACCACCGTGATATACGTTCCGATATCTATTGGAAAGCACGTTAGGAGTCTGCCTCCTCCACTATCTCTAGATCGCGTTAGGATAAGATAATGGTTGACCTAAATAACGTTTTGATGAATCCGGACGAATCTCATTTTGTCATCTTACCTCCCTTACAAAGCTATTCTACCGCTCCAGATTTAATTACATATCGAGCATCGAATCTGCTGCGAGTTCAGTCCCGTGTCATTTCCTGTCCTGCCTAATCTTCCCGCTCTATTTCTCGAT